GGACACATATAAAGATGTCCTTTGTCCATTTGTAGGATTTCATTCATATATCGCTGGAAAAATAAAGTACATTATTCACCAAATTCCACTTTCTGAAAGCTCATAGTTCCAAACCTAGAAATGAAATGAAACCAAATGCTTCAGTATTATCTTCTTCATCCTTAATTTTAAGTTACATCAAATGGGGAAAAAAAGAGCCTTTAGGATCATACATGTAAATTACATTTATCTCACATGGCAGTGAAATCATCAGTCAAATCTCTGAGTACTTCTCTCCATTCCAAAAGCAAGAAAAGTCTTAATTGAGTTCCATTGTGCCTCTGATGTGAAACAAAGAATTAAAATTCTAAGGCTTTGGGATAAAACTACAAACAGTGTCAAAACACAACAAAATATTGTCAAAGCAAACCTATGGAGACAGTATTAAGATGTCAAAATTAAAATGATGTCATTGTAAATTACAGCAGAACTTTTTAAAAATGAAGCATGAAACCCTCTATATGAGTGTACACTGCCACTCATTTCAAACTAATTGTTCATGCCAGATGTGTAGGAGGGATGATAAATGTTCCTAAGCTCAGAGAATATACATTCCAAAAATAGTTAGGGCATTCTTAAAAGTGAGCTACAAAATTTCTGTCAGTTTTGATAGTTACTTGAAATCCACTTTATTCTTCAGTATTATGTATCCCTGTTTTCTCTTAGTCTAGATACATGTGCTACATATACAGATAACTAAAAATTATAAATATACCTACATTTATATTCTTAGATCCTTGCACACAGCCAGGAAGATAGTAGGAAATCAATAATGGGTTGTATAGTAAGTGAACAAATAAATAAACAAGTACAGTGGAATTATTTTATGACTTTAGAGATAAAAAGAATGTGAGAATTTAATTATTATTAAAGGGAAATGTTTACTAATGGGAAATTTAGTAAATCTTGTCCAATTTTTTACCTTATTATTTTGTCATCATGCACATTTCAACCATCTTCTAACTCATCCTCCTTAATTATTATCTGCTGTTTAAATGTATCTTCCACAGAAAAAGTATATATGTCATATTCTTTCAGAAACTTTATATTTGATGATATTTATATCATGCCTTATAACAGAATTTTGTGAATTGGTGATGTACAAATACTGATGATCCTAATAATTAGATGAATAATTCTTACTTTGATTAATAATATATTTAAAGAAAATTATTTTCTAGTATTGAAATTTTTTTAACTCATGGCTCTCAAAACTAAGTTGTAGAAATATTTCATACTCTGACATACCTGGTCATTGCCTCAGTTGTTATTCCCATATAGTATACGTTGCAATTATAATATCTGTGAGGATTGTACATTCTTCATCACTGAATACACATACATACACACATATAATTATTATCAACATCTATATGTTATAGCATATTAATATTACAAATATAATATTTATTATATTTATATTATATAAATATATATTTATACAAATATTATAAATATATTTAAATATAATGTATATAATATATTAAGTATTAATATTCTTTAGTTATATAATAGTTATATATATCTTGCATATATCTTGTATCTTGCATTAGTGTGGTACATTTGTTACAATTGATGAACTGATATCAATACACTATTGTTAACTAAAGTCCATGGTTTATACCAGGGTCACTGTTTGTGTTATACATTCCTTGGGTTTAGACAAATGCATAATGTCATGTGTCCACCTTTGCAGTTTCATACTGAGTAGTTTTGCTGCCCCAAACCTTCCTGTGCTTACCATTCACCCCTAGTTGCTGATCTGTAGGCCCAGCACTGAAATTACACATACAGTTCTCACCAAGGTCATGAACCAGATTAGATTCTAGTGAGAGAAGTAGCCACCACCTATTGATGGGTGAAGTGGCAGAGAATTTGGGGTCATCTTAGTTCATCACAATTTATCTTCTTTCCACAAGCATCCTCCCCCATTGTACCTTCAAGTTGAGTGTCAAGGTTGGGGACCTCATGCCTGATGGTGTCTGCGTGTGGGCAGAGGCCCTGCAGCAGCCTCCTCAGGTCCTGGGGTGCAGAGACCTGTGAAGGAAGCAAGCAGCTGTCTGCCATTCGTGTACTCAGCCCCCACTGGGGAGAGACAGCCAGAGTCCCGAGGAGTCCCAGCTGAGCCTGAGCTGCCAGTCCACCTGCTCGTCCCCAGAGGAATCTCCTGAGAATCCCTAAGAGCAGAGTTCTTCAGCTTTTGATTCTGTTATCTGAGGCCTTGTTCCCATAGCTTGCTAATCCCAAGCCAGAGTCACACAGGGAAGGGGAATCTAGGAAAACAGGTTGACACAGTACAAAATTAAAACTGTGCATATGTTCAGTTGACTATAGTCTAGAGTAGAAGTTCATCCTGAGGAAATAATGAGAGATACACAGAGACGTATTTAAGGCCAATCATATTATAATTATTTACTATAGAGCAAAACTAGAAGCAGTCTTTTGTCCAAGTACTGCAGATAGACTAATTAAATGTTGGTAGTTTCAAATTGTAAGGTGGAAGAATATAGCTTATTTTTGATAAAGTGTAAATATTACCATACATATAAATAAAGATGAAATGATGTACATCAAACAGTGATCTGAGCGGAAGAATAATAAATCTAAATTAATTTTTTCTATCTTTATTTCCTTTTTTCATTATGACTATTTATTGCTTTCAAACTAGAAAATTTTGAAAGACTAATCAAAAGAATGAATTCATGATAAAAGCATCTACATACGGTTTTATTATAATGCTCAATATTATTTGAAATCTCTTATAATGTTAATTTAACAAAACTTGACATCTCACCTCTGTTGGTATTTACTCGAAAATGGTGTGAATAAAAAGAAAGGCACGAATATTCAGTTTTTACTATTTACCACAGTGTCTAGATGCAGAGAAGTACATTCCAGAGTCAGAATGTGAGCACCATGTATATCTTTATAGGGTTGATGGTTGTTAGAAAACCCATATAAACTTTATTTGGAATCATGCCATTTATCAAGGGCAAATCCATACACGTCAGTGTATCAGTCTGAAGAAAGCATAAATGGCACACATGTTTAAGCTGGATAAAGTAGATTATAAATAAAGTAAATTTGCACTTGACTAATTTTGCAAGAATCAAGCACAGTACCAGTCCCAAAGGGAACTTTACTGGTAAGGTAGAGAGTTGGTTTATTTATTGTTTCAAAGGACAACGTGGAGAAATTTAGACAGGTATGTACAGCTTTGTAGAAAGATAAGAACATTTAAAATACACACTTTTAAAAAGTAAACTGAACTCATAGAAACAGAATAGATTGGTGGTTGCCAGAGGTGGGGGGTTGAGGTGGGTGGGCAAAATGGGTGAAGATGGAAGTATGTATGTACAGCAAGGTGACTGTGGTTAACAACACTGTAATGTGTATTTGAAAGTTGTTAAGAGAGTAGATCTTAAAAGTTCTCAGCATAAGAAAATTAATTTGTAACTATGTGCGGTGATGGATGTTAACTAAACTTATTGTGGTGATCACTTCACAATATGTACATACATCAAATCATGATGCTGCATGCCTAAAACTAACAATGTTATGTGACAGTTATAAAAAAAAAATACACTTTTTTTCTTTTTCAGTTGTGTATTTTTTAATTGAGGTATAATTCACATGCAACATTGTATTAGTTTCAGGTACACAATGTAATGATTCAATATTTGTACATATTGCAATAAGATCACCACAATAAGTTGCCTTAACATCTGTCACCGTACATAGTTACAATTTTTTTTCTTGTGATAATTACTTTTATTTTTTTATTTATTTATTTATTTTTGAATGCAAAAACCACATATTTATTAAACATATGATTAACTTAAAAACACCAAACCAGTTTGTTTTAAAGTGCTCCTCATCCAAAACCTTGGACAAAACCATCACTCCAAAGTGAACTGAAAAAACAGTTTACAAAGCAAACACTGACAATAGGTATGGACAGGCACTACCAAAAAATGCTCTTTGTTCTTTAATCAAATAATGCCATTCTCAAGTTATGTAGGGCAGTCACCTTGACAGATTCCTTTTTTATAAGTATTCATAAATAAAAAATGTCTAGATATTCTAAAGAGCCGCAAACATTAATACCTTACAACAGCAGCTTACGTCTCGGAAAAAAGCACTAAAATCCTCTTCCATTGCAAGTCATTTATTTCTCTGGTGGAAGTGAGCAAGGTCACTACAATATTAACCTCTTTTCTAGAACAATGTAAATAACAAGGTATACACATCTTAAATTTGGTAGGTCATAAAAGTTAGGATGCAATCATTTTTTCTGATGCAACAGAAAAATAAATAAGTAAAAATTAAATACTTAACCCAATATTTGATATTGATTAATCAGTAGTGTCAACTTCATATAAAAAGGAAAGCACAATCTCGTTTTTTAAAAATCCTCAATGTCATGGTATTTGGGGTAAAAATATTTCGAATATTAAATGTTTCCTTTTTGCTTAAAGGAATATAATACAAACACCATCAAGCTGTGACCGTAACTCACTTTCAGCTGGGGTAAAGTGACCATTTGGTCCATGGCACAAGTTACATATATCACACTTCTGTCAAACTGAAACCTTAGGTTTATAAGATTTCATGTTTATAAGCTACAATACACACTGACTAAGATGTCAGTCCCTCACAGTATTTTAGAAAAATATCTACATTTGTCCTTACAGATGTCAAAATGTTACACCATCATTTGTTCAAAAAAAAAAAAGATGCACATTCATACTGTGAAGTTATTAGGAAAATACTCTTGCAAATAAACTATATAAAGATAAAATACACTTCAAAGGTATGTGGGTTGTTTTTTGTTTGTTTGTTTTACAATATTCTATAAAGTGCAGAGAAATCCTAAGGGAAAAATTACTCCCTATAACATAGTTTAATTACAGCAGCTTTTGCATAGCAATACTTAGAGGAAGTTGGACACTTCCGTTTCCTCAGGAAGAGAAGGATGGAAGAGGATCTTCCGGTTCAGATTTTTTTTTGGCCATAAGTCTGCTTTCTTCAGGAATGGTTGCTGATGCCAAATCTCCATTAAGTGTATTTCTGGAACAGTGAACAGGTCTATCTGGGTCTTCAAGAGGAACATCATTATAAGAGTCTGTATCTGAGTAGGTTCTTCGGCGCCGCTGGGAGAGTCGGTGAAGTGTAGACACTGTTTCTTTTATAGAGTGGCTACTCCTCTCTGAACTGCAAGAACCAGGGTGGCTGACAGAACGCTTCATCATTTGAACAGGAGAAGGTGACACAGGAGAAACTAAGGGATCCGGATGGCACAGCTGAAACATCTCAGGTTTAAACTTGGCATTCGCTATCTTCACACATTCCTCAAGCGTTGTGATGAATGTATTACACGTGGCACTAAGTAGAGAAGAGGCTTCATTCATGTTCTCTATGCTGGGAGATGAACGATTCTCATCATGGTGAACAAATTCTTGGATCGTATGAACTTGCTTCATTAGGAGGTCACAGTAGAGGCGAAGCTCAGACATTTTGGTTTTCAGAGATTCACTGGTTTCACTTATTTCTTTTTCTTTTTTAGTCCTAGTATCAGACAAACAGGCTTTGGAGCTCCCCAAAGCAACCAGCCACCTTTGTCTTTCAGCTGCATTCACTGCCTTCATGTAGAAATGCTGCTCTCCTGGAATGATTAGTTCCATTCTTGTGTTGTCTGCTGAATGGACTTTAATTTCACAAACTGCCATCTTTATACTTCCTTTGCTCCCTTTGCAAACATCATCTTGTGAATCATAGTAGGACAGGATTCCATTATCTAAAACAAACCAACGAGGCTGCCAACCCGTGAGATAGTTGGTCCACTTGTACAGAGCTCCCTCCATGCTTCAGAGCCCGGCGCCGCGCATCCTCCTGGCCCGGCGCCGGCCGCGGTGAAGGGCGAAACGCGGGGCCTGGGCAGCCCCTCCCGGCCCGCCCGGGCCCCTCCCCGGGCGCCCCCAGCCGGCACAGAGCAGCCCTCAGCCCGCGCGCGCTGCCGGGACGTGGCGGCCCTCAAAGGCCGGGACGGCGGCCGCCGCGTGGTGCTTGGGGGCCTTGAGACATCCCCGGGTGAGCCCCGGCGGCGGCGGCGGCGGCAAAGTCGGGACCGCTGCCGGCCTCCCGCTCGCGCTCCCACCGCCCCGCTGCTCCCTTCCGCGCCCCAGCGCTCCTTCCTCCTCGCCCGCCTTCCTTTCCCCCGCCCAGGTCTCTCGTTTCTGTGATAATTACTTTTAAAATTTACTTTAGCAATTTTAAATGTGCAGTACAGTGGTATTAACTATAGTCACTGTGCTGTACATTACATCCCAATGACTTATTTTATAACTGGAAGTTTGTACCTTTTGACCCCCTTCACCCATTTTGCCCACCCCCACCTCAGTACACACTTATAATTACTAGCTGATAAAGCCGATCAGACAAGAGCACTGGCAGCCTGATCTTGTACTAAAAATACAAAACAAAAATCTGTGGAAATGAGCATCTGCAGCAGTAATTCCATTTTAGTCCATTTGCTTAATGCATTTTTGTTATTAAGACAACAGATTTTAGATAGATTTAAATGCAGTATCATTACATAACATGGCAAAGCATGCTGTGCAAATGATGGAAACTACAGTCTTGTAAGCTAGATTTTATAAGACATAACCACAGTTAGAAAAATAAGACAAAAAAAATCAAAGTTACTAATGAAAAGTGCATTTTAGATTCTGAAAAACACAACTGTTATCAAATGTATTGCTTTTCTAACAGAACAGTGTATTCTAATTTTGAGTAAATACAAATGTTTTGTTCATTGCTTAAAAATAGGTAGATATGCTGAAGCTTTCTACATTACCTTTCCTTTTTTAAAAATAATAGACTTTATTTTTTAGAGAAGTTTTAGGTTCACAGAAAATTTGAACACAAAGTATAGATAGTTCCCACATACCCATTCCTCACATATCATGCAGCTGCTACACATCAGAGTGATGTTCTGCTACAGCTGATGCACCTACATTGATGCATCATCATCACTCAGAATCCATAGTTTACATTAGGATCCACTTTTGGTGTTGTACATTCTATGGGTTTGGACGAATGTATAATGACATGTATCATACAGATAAGTTTCACTGCTCTAAACATCCTCTGTGCTCCACCTATTTATCCCTTCCTCCCCCAATCTCTGGCAACCACTGATATTTTTACTGTCTCTGTAGTTGTGCCTTTTCCAGATGTCATAGAGTTGGAATCATACAGTACGCAGCCTTTTCAGATTGGTTTCTTTTACTTAGTAATATGCATTTAAGATTCCTCCATGTCTTTTCATGGCTTGATAGCTCATTTTTTTTTAGCTCCAAATAATTCTTCATTGTCTGGTTGTAATGCAATTTATTTAACCATTCACCTACTGAAGGACATTTTGGTCTCTTCCAAATTTGACAATTATGAATAAAGCTGCTATGGCAGGTTTTTGTGTGGACATAAGCTTTAAACTTCGGGCAAATATCAAGGAGTTGACATATGATGTTGCTGGATCATATGGTAAGACTTCTCAAAGAGGTAGCTTTTGGTTTCATTAATTTTCTCAATTGATTTCCTGTTTTCAGTTTTATTGATTTGTGCTCTGATTTTTTTATTTCTTTTTTTTCTGTTTATTTTGGTTTTAATTTCATTTTCCATTTTTAATTTCCTAATATAAAATTTTAGACTGTTGATGATAGATTTTTCTCTTTTCTAATTATGCAGTCAGTGCTATTAATTTCCCTCTAAGCACTGCTTTTGCTGCATCCCACATATTTTCATAGGTTATGTTTTAATTTTTTAGTTCAGAATATTTCATTTAGTTTAATTTTCTCTTGAGATTTCTTCTTTTATCCATGTGTTATTTAGAATTGTATTGTTTAAGCTCCAAGTATTGGGATTTTTAAACTACTTTCTGCGGTAGATTTCCTATTTAATCCATTGGTATCTGAAAGCATACATTGTCATACAATGTATTTTTTTTTAATTTGTTAAAATGTGTTTTATGAACTGGAACATGATCTATCATAGTAAAAGTTAAATATAAGCTTGAGAAAAATGTGTGCTCTGCTATCGTTGGATGAAATACTCTATAGATGTTAGTTATATCTAGTTCATTGATCATGCTGTTCAGCTCAACTGTGTCCTTACTGACCTTCTGACCTCTGAATTGATCTTTCCATTACTGATAGAGGGGTGTTAAAATCTCCAGCTGTGATAATGAATGCATCTGTCTAGCCTTGCAGTTCTATTAGTTTTTGCCTCATGTATTTTAATGCTCTGTTTTAGGCACATACATGTTAAAGATTGTTATGTTGTCTTGGAGAATTGACTCTTCATCATTATGTAATGCCTGTCTTTACCCTGCTAATTTTTTTTACTTTGATGTCTGCTCTGTCACAAATTAATGTAACTTTCTTTAGATTAGTGTTATCGTGGAGTGTTTTTCTTCATCCACTTAACTTTTAATCTATATGTGTCAATTTAAAGTAGTTTCTTGTAAACAACACACAGTTGGGTCATATTTTTTGGTCCTCTCCAACAGGCTCTGTATTTTAGTTGGTGTATTTAGACCATTGATGTTTAAAGTAATTATTTACATAGTTGAGGTAATATCTGCCATATTTATTAGTTTTTATTTGCTGCCCTTGTTCTTTCTTTTATTGTCTTCCACTTGTTTTCTGCCTTCTTTGATTTTAATTCAGCATTTTATATGATTCCATTTGCTCCTCATTCATAGCGATCAATTATATTTTTATTTTTATTAATGATTGCACTAGGATTTACATATACATTTACAACTAATCCAAGTCCACTTTTAAATAACAGTGTATTGCTTCATGAGTAGTGCAAGTACTTTATAACAAAGTATTTCTGATTCCTCCCTCCCATCCCTTCTACCATTGCTGTCCTTCATTTCACTTATCCATAAGCTATAATCATCAAATACATGATTATTATTATTTTGAACACAATAGTAAGAAAAAAAACATTTTATTTTAACTTCATTTAGTCCTTCTCTAACCCTTCTTTCTTTATTAATATATATCTTCTAGTTTTGTGATGATGGTGCTGATGACAGTGATGGTGATGATGGTGATGGTGGTGGTAATAATGATGGTGATAAATCATAGTCTTGTGCATGAGTATGTGCATTATTCTCTTGATTTAAAGTAGATCCAGATTGTAGAACTGAAGACAAAGGTAGAGACTATAAGGAAGAAGGAATATATACCATAAACTACCCAGCAGGAGATATAGGATAATTTGACAATTTTCATTTTTGCTTCACCTTATGGTTTGGTCTCTAGGAGACTTGACCACTATAGTAGATTTGCTGGGGAAATAACTCAGTTTAGGATAAAATTATCTCCTATACTATAAAATTACTTATTATTTGTAGGATGCTTTTCCATATTGTTATATTCAGAAATGAACTTCAAGCAAACTCACGTATTTTATGAAAGTCAGAATGATATCATGGATTTTAATATTTCCTAAGAAAAAAGTATGCCTCTTCTGAGAGGAGGGAGAAAGAAGTGAATCTGTGAGCTTAGTCACATACATTTTGTGGGAAGAACTATATGGCTTCAGGTGCATCGGCTTTCTATGGGTTGTGGCTTGCTTCTTCAAAGGCTAAAACACCTTGATCATTAATATGCTGCCTGTGCTTCATGCTTGACTTTTACATTACTGCTCTAGCTATTACCATGCATGCATTATTTATGCTGTTGGCTATCATGGAAAAACGGCAAGCAATTTACTTGTCAAAACACATTAGAATGCATGACTTTAAATCAGAGTCGCATGGGTTGGTAAAAAGCTGTAATAAATGCACTTTGGCTAATATGTTGGTGTCATGCAGTTTGAGGCCACTGTATTGACTGAGAAACCAATAACCATCTCTAGAACTCTTCTAGTAGAATAGCACTTCAAATTATTCACGCTTTTAATTGCTTCATAGTAAACTCTGTTATTATAATTTTTCTTTCCATAGATGAGTTTTAACATTAGAATAGCAAGTGAGTGCAAATTAAATTCTTAATGATAGAAGTACTGGAGTTAATTGTATTATTTATTTAGGCTCCAAACAGGATCTGAAATGCTTAAATATTAGAATTATGTCATACAGCCATGTGTTTCCCTTGCTTTTCTTGTCAGTTAACTGTTTCCAGTATTACTTGATGCTCTCATTACTACACAGAAGTCCCCTTTTGTACCACAGCAAATGTTTAGGTAAATGCCAGACACCGTGCTAGCTCTCCAAATGTTGGTAAGGCCAGCCTCAGACTTCATGACACTTGTAAGATGACCGCCCTGTCCAAGTGTGCTGGAAGAGGTCCCATCAGAGCAATGGTTCGGGAACTTTATTTTTCTTAAAAATCATTCTATGACAAGTGAGTTGTGGGCATGGCAGGGATTTTGAGGAGGTCAGCATTATTGGAGGATGTTATCTTGTGCAGGGAAATAATCAAGTCTATGCTCAGCATAACCTTCTCCTGTCTGCTTGTTATCCAGTACTGTCCAACATCTTCAGAATCTAATAGGAGTCCAGTGAATTTGATTCCATGAGTGAATGCAGTTGAAGAAGACAGAGGTAGGCCCCAAAGGGGTCAACTATCATTTGAAATTACTATCAGAGAAGAGACACCCTGAGTCCTTTTTACCAATATTCGCTTCCATTCACATTTTTCCCATGGATTCACAGGCTGGGGATGTTACCTCGTCAAAGTCCTTCTTACTAGAAAAAATGAGTATCGTGAAGTCCAGAGGAGTTAAATCACCCAACCCAACATTCTCAAGGTATCAGGACCCAGGCAAGATACAAGAACCATCTGTCTAGTGTTCTGATTTCAAGAATAACCTATAAGTCTTACAAGGCAAAGGGTTAGGAAAATACCTTTAGGACATCATGATGGAGGGGGGGCGTTCTTCTGGCACTGCTCTTCCAGGTTGTTGTGGTCTACCAAGATGGACTTGCAGGGCAAGGAGTAGCCAAGAGGATTGGGAATCTTGAGGAACTGAGATGCAGCCAGCAGCAGGTCTGAGCCTCTAAACAACAGACCCTGGCATTGATCTGAGAAGCCAGAGCACCTGGCAATCAGACCTTCTAGAAACCTGTGAAATTTAACCAAGGAGATGAGAGATCTGTAAACTGAAAACTAGAATATGTTGATGAAAGAAATTGAA